AGTTTAACTAGAGTCATCATTGAAAAATTTAAAAACTAATCTAATGACACACTTGACCCAAAGGAAAAAGAAAAGCAAGAGAAACAGGAAGAACTCTGAGTCAGCATTTTTGTATGAAATTTCATATTTTCTCAAGCCTATATGCAAAAAGATTATGTAATATCAACATAAGTCATTTAGAATTATTTATAATTGGTGGCTACATATAACTGCATCTCTGTAAAGGCTGAAAAATTCCTCTGTTGAATAATCCAATTGTTGATTATGTCTTATTCTCACTATCAAAATAAGCTTATTTTATAACACCCAATTTGGTAGACAGCATGATAATGAATAATTGCAAACAACTGATAACTAGTGCTTTTGAAATAAAAGGGAAGGATGGCAAAATTTACTTAGATATTGAATTACTGTGCATTTACAATGTGTGACACCATGTGGTTAAAATTACATTTAAATTTCAAAATAAATCTGTATAGTCACCCAATTTTATAAGGTTTCTCCTTATAATAACTGTAGCCTTCATTCCTTGTAATTTTGTTTAATTTTGCTTTAATTTCAAGAACCAAATTTATCGGTTAAGTAATGATCTGGGGTGAAAGAACAATTGCATGAATATAGTGATACATGTGTATGTACGTATCTTAGATAAAGTAAGTATAGTAAATTAGAATTTGTTTTTGTTTTTTTGGTACCACAGATTGAACTCGGGTCTTTGCACTTGCAAGGCAGGTCACCAAACCCCTGAGCTAAATCCCCAGCCCAGAAAGAGATTATGAATAAAAGTTAAACTGACTTTATAGTTAAATCATTAGTGAAAAGGGACAACTATTTTTTAAAGTCACAATTATTTTAATAAAAGTGAAAAGTCTCTCCTGTCTCATGGAATTAATTAATTTAGCTTACAAAACAGCAAGTGTCACATCAGAAAGGGACATAGGCATTTAACCATGGATGCCTGCATGGCAAACAATAAACCACAATAAACAGAGGGAAGTGTTCAATGTGGTGCTGCCAGTATAAATATTCATAGGATGAAAGATACTAAAACCAGAGCACTAAACTCTTGCCACCACTTAAGTCTTTATATGTCTTCATTGCCTGAAAATTCACCCGCTGAAACATTCAGACACTGTCTGAAAAAGAAATGTGGTTTTGTCATGTCCACCCTCTGTCTTACCCATCACAACATATATTATCACATCATTTGCTTTATCAGTTCTTTGTCTTCTCTTCATTGTCTCATTTGAATACAAATGTCATATATTATGTGCCTATATTAAATTTCAACCTAAAAAAAAACAACTTAGTATATATTGGACCAGCAAGTAAATGAGACCTCTATGCTAGAGTTAAAGAGAGATGTGATGTCATTACACAAATTGCAATCCAGAGTTACTTATGGATAGGGCTTGTTTATTATTATTATCATTAGTCCTGATTTACTGACTCTGTAAAAGCATTCTAACACATTTATCACCCATAGGGAAGTGCCCTTGCTGATTAGAAAATAGCGGAAATATTGTATAAAGCTCATTCCACCAAATATTTAAAAGTATATATAAAATTTTATCTGTTCTGAAGAATTCTACAGAGTGTGGGATGAGGCTAACAGAATTGATATAAGGCTTGCTCACATGGAATCTTATATAAGTCAGACCCATACAAAAATCAAGATATAAGAAAAAAAATATTCCTCCTCTAAAAAAAATGGAATAGAACTGCACACATTTGCACCCATGTGTGCACACACACACACACACACACACACATAAAAACAGAAACTTTTGTGCATAGGAGGAAGAGAATTATTGATGGCTATGCTTATATTTTAAATCTAGGGACTGATTAAAAAATGTTGTATTAGAATTTATATATGAAAAATATAAAAGAACCCTAGGTGAAATGTGATGCCATAATGTGATGTAACTCTTTAACTACCACTAAAATAACTGGGCAATCTCAAAGAAAATTGATATAGACACGTTACTCTACCTAGTCTCTTAAGAGTAATATTATCCTTATGTGTATAAAACAGATACCTCTTCCACTAGGAATCACTTTTAACTGGTGATTAGTAACAAAGACAGTGGAATGAAAAATCTGAAGCTCCTGTTACAAACATACTCACTGAAGGGACTGAGGCAAGCAGGTATATAAAAGTTAAGATTTAAGCAGGACTTTAAGGATAATTTAGTCCACGCTCCTCATTTTAATAAGCGAAGACCCAAGAAGTTATTTAGTCCAAAGTTAGATGTTCAATGAATTTAAATTAATCAGGAAACACAGGAGCTAATAAAAGCCTTTGGTAATTTAGTATTAATTTCCAATGAATGTCTTCTTTATTCGAAATATTTCAACCTACACAAAAGTTCCTTCACTACCTTACCACCATATTCTTAAATACAAGAAACAGTAAATCAATTGTAATGAGGTACAAATGATCACAAATCATAAAGTAAGACTATAATTCCAGAATCAAGCCTCAATCCAGCTTAGTAGAATACATATGGGTCTGCTGAAAACATTTGACAATATGAACACATTTGTAGTATTTCATTTTATTTAGCCTAGAATTTTCCTAGCTCTGGCTCTCATTAAAGAAGGCATGTAGAGGGGCATCTGGAGAGTTCAATTCAAAAATGAAAAATATAATTCTCTTTGTCCACTAATTCGGTTTTCAGTGTTAGATCAAAGGAAGTTCCAATTATGAGTGTAAGGAGAATTCAGTAAATAACTACACTGCAGAATTTTTTTATTCTTTTTTAACACAAACTTCTCTATTAGCATAGAGGAAAGCATGGTCTTATCCCTTTGTTTTATACAATTTTATTTACCAGGCTTGCCAGGCTGCAGTAATGATTCCAGAAGCTGTATGAAAGACACCAAATTATTCCACAAAGGAATGGAACAATCATATGCTTTTTCCTTCTCATGCTTCTCCTTGCTGAAAGACACAAGACTTTCTCATTCAGACTTCCATGCCTTATTTTTTTGGAATTTCCCCTTTTCACCACTTGCATCTTCCACCTATTCCCAAGATTTGAAATACATCAGAATTTGACTGAAAATTGCCTCAATCTTCAGAGATGTATTTACACCATTAGGAAGTGATGCGCTTCAGTACAGAATCAAACATTGACTGATGAAATGTTTATCTAAATAATTACATTATACAAATGTATGTGCTTCCCCACAGCTGAAGCTCTTAGTGCAAGCTTGGAGAGAGCAAGAAGCTTGCTGCACGTTTGCTTGTAAGAAAAGTCAGGAAACACTCCGCAAAATTAATTTTAAGAGGTAGAAAGAAATGTTAGTTTCTGGCATTTGGCACTCCCGTATAATTTTACATGATTGAGCCCAGATGTTAAATAATCATAGTCTAAGTGTTAGGTTTGACTATCACCTGGACTGGTCATACACTCTATTTGCATTTTATGAAACACCTCTCAAGCTAAATGTTATTTTTTAATAATATTATTTAAAATTGATTGGAACAACACTTATTCCTGCAAAACCTGTAGAGTTCAGTGTGCTTTATTAATCACGGTAATGATTCTTTTAAAAATAGACAAAAGGGGAAACGATCTAAATCCTCATTGAAAGATGAATGGACAAATAAAATATGGTGTATACACACTGTGGAAAATTATCCAGTCTTAGAAAGAAATAAGATTCTGACCTGGGCTGCAATATGGATGAACATTGAAGACACCATACCAAGAAAAAAAAACACACTAGGCTCTACAGACAACTATTATATAGTTCCACTTCTAGGAGTTCTAGAATAGACAAACACATAGAGGTTGAAAATAGAATAGTGGTTGCCAGAAGATGAAGTAGAAGAGGGTATGTGAATAGTGTTTAATGGACATAAATTTTCAGTTTGGGGAGATGAGAAAATTCTTGTGATAAATGGTGATGATAGTTGCATGATAATATGAATGAATTTAACACCATTAAACTATACAGTTCAAAATGGTTAAAATAGTAATTGTAAGCTATGCATATTTCACCACATTAAAAGAATATTTATTGATTTGAAATGTTTTGTATTTTATAATTCGCTGATTCACATAACAGCCACAGTTAATGAACCTTTTAGCAAGATAGATATTATAAATTATTTGTGTTTTACAGATGAGGGAAATGAGATATATTGTAATAACCTGCATAAAACTTTAAGGGACATCAGAAACAAGATTCCAACATAGTTTTCAGATCCTTGATTTCTTCCGAGCATAAGAAACTGTGTCATAAATAATCTCATAAAGTTGAGGTTGGTCAGGTAACCAACCTATTTTTTCCCTGATTCCTCTTTCCATTAGGCCACAGTGTGTAATGACCAATTTCTTATACTTCATGCATTACCTCAAAGGTAGGATCCCTTCAAACCCACCCCACCACACTCAGTCCTTTGTTTTAATTCATTCACATTGACCGGGGATTTACCTCAGTGGCACCGCGCCTGCCTGGCAAGCACAAGGTCCTGAGTTCAAACCCCAATAACCACCCCTAGAAAAAAGAAAGAAAGAGAGAGAGAGAGATAAAGAAAGAAAGAAAGAAAGAAAGAAAGAAAGAAAGAAAGAAAGAAAGAAAGAAAGAAAGAAAAAGAAAGAAAAAAAAGAAAAGGTTTCTTAATTCATTCACATCTATTCTTTCAACAGAACTAATCCGGCTCTTTCCTAATCTTAAACTCAACCTAGTCTATGTTCCTCAAGCCTAATTGCTTTAGTCTCCTTCTGCCTGGACTAATCTAGCAAACTGGCTTCAATTAGGAATGATAAATAAAATAATAATATAGTTATTCATTCCAAAAAATGTCTTTTTCTTCCAAGACTTGCAAAAATTTGATCTAAAGAGTCAATTGGCCTGGGCATTTCCTATGTCAAGCCAATCTTCTCAAGGTGAGATGTTTTGAGCAAACAGCTGGCACCACCCTTCAGTTGAGTGACTCCATCCTACTAGATGTTAGGCCCAAAGTGAAGTTTACATACTGATACCTTCTTGGCCTTTGGTGATCTTCTTATTTCATTCGTTTTCTACTGAGAACCCATAATAACAAAGGAGACCAGTGCAGAATAAGGCATTCAAGAATCCTACAATCATAAGAGAGTACACATATGCATTAGAAATAAAATGAGAATTATGTCTAAGAAAGATGGATATAACTTATCACCAGTCATCAGAAAGGAGATGGATGATTGTTATATTATAAATCCAATAAGACTTTATAGAGTGATTCTCAGCAGTCTTATCCTGTAATCTCAAAATCATTTTCAGCTTATCTATAGCTAAACAAAGTAGTTTATATTAAAAATATATGTTTTTGCAAAATGAAATAATTTTTATTTTTAAAAATATATTTATTTTTTAAAGATGTATTAAAATTCAGAAAGAATATTTTATTTCATTTTTGCAGTTTCAGATATTAATTAAATAATTTATAGAAAACATATATATAACTATATTAAATTAAAATAGTAAATAAGGCAATGCCCTCTACTCATATATAACTTGCTTCCACATTTTTCAGTGAACAAAGAATACATGCATAGTTCTATGTCTATGTACATATAGATAATAGAGAATACAAATATATATTCATGAATGCATGAGCTATTTAAGTCTGTATACATATATTTAAATATATGACCAAATATACAAGTGGAAGCCTACTGTATAAAGGATCTTTAAGTTTGTTTTATTTTTAACAATATGTTTTAAGATGCGCTTCTATTGAAACATAATTTACACTAGTTTTAGAGGTCTACATAGCATCGGTTGTCTTAATTTCATGATTTGTATAACCATGAACATTTAACTTGCTTTCAGTCATTGTCTAGATTTAAATTAATGTCACAATGAGTATTCCCATACACATAATTTTTTCATGTATATAAAATATCTGTAAGCCTAATTTCTAAAAATAGAAATGGTACATGAAATATGTGTATATCTAAAGGTATTTGTTAGGTATTGCTACATTGCTCCAAAGAGGTTGCACCCATTTATATTCTCAGTAAGAGTATCTGAGATTATAATTTCCTCACCCTGGGTCCCTTCCTCTTTATATTTGTTAGCTTGTTTATCTAACACATTTTAGATGGCGTTTCAGTAATGGCTGATTTTGTATTTCTTTAGTCAGAAGAATATGGAGATGTAAGAAATACATTACTGAGCCATTTATGTTTCCTTTTCTGTAAAATATCTGATCAAATGTTTACCTATTTGCTCCAAGAGATAGGAGCATCTAGTCAAGGCAAGAAATTCACTAGAATCCTAACAAGCACCTTGTTAGAAGCTATCTCAGCTTGATAATGTATAATGAAGAATTCTGTACTGTTTAAGAATTCCAGGACTACACTTGTGGAATTTTGCCTCTACACATATATTAACCTAGCGATGACAATTCTCAGCATCATACGTGGCTCCAGGAAGAAGAAGGAAGTCTATGAGGAAGAGGGGAAAAGACATTGAAGAAGAGATTAACGAAGGATGAAAAAATATGAAAGAAAAAGCATAAAATAAAAATAACAAAAGATGGGAGAGATAAGGAAAGATGCACGGAGAAGTACAGCAAGAAAGAAGAAGAGTCGATCTGTGTCTGATCCAATTTCTGTATCACAGGAATAGTGTTGTTAATAGCATGAAAAATGGTTCTATGTAGAGTTTTTCTGAATTTTGATTTTCAGGCTATGAGTTGAAATACTGTGTGTTAGTGTATAATCAGCAAATACACCTTCTCTTCTCAGGTTAACATCTGTAAGTTTATAGTTTCTGGGATGTGTAATTGTCACTTTATTTTTCTTTGGCATACTCTTTATTTAAATTACTATGTAGTCACAATTTGGACCTCTTAAGGTAACACATTATAATATTTTAATAGATTCTTTCTATGTCCTTCTATTCCAATTGCTATGTGTCAGGTCAAAAAACAGCTCATATGTATTCCAACTGAGAACAAAGAGTGTACTAGGAAAACTCTACTTCATTATTATAATTACTATGTTACTATAATTTCAGAATTAAAGAAAGATCTTGTTCACTTTTATGTACCTTACAAAGCTTATCAAGTTTCATAAAACTCTGATCATTTTAATTGTTCACCCTTTATTCAATGCTTTTTTTCTAATTACTGCATTTATTATTTCTGTTTTATTAAGTACTAAGACAGAAGCAGAAGCAGCATGAGGTCCATGCTTTATCCACCTGTGCTTTGCAAAAACCCATGACTATTCCAAGAACAATGCACCTCTGAAAGAACAAAATTAACTGCTTATTAATCTGTAGCTGTAAGACAGAAAATAATTAGTGGCCTTGGGAAAGTAAAGATAATAAATTAAAACAGAAAAATTAATTGGCAGAAAGGAGTTGAAGAATTTTGAAAGTATTTATTTTGCAGAAATCAAGCAAGAAATTCAATTATACCTTCACTGTCAGGGGCAGAAAATACACCAATTTTTTTTGTGATAAAGTTGGTAAGATTTAGAAAATATTAAGCTATTTGGAGACTTCATTGAAGTAGCTGAGAAATAATAATTATAATAAATACAACAAGGGGAGTTGGTTTGCACAGTAAAATATTTTGTTATTTAGTTATCTTTTCATTATTATCTAAGTGCTGCACTTTATAGATGAAAAAAAGAACCTGCTGCTAAGTTCATATATCATTTAGTTGATTTAGTTGACTGCTCTGACTCTTGAATTATAAATGTTTTGGGCATTAACTTAAAAAGCTAAATGTTTTTTCCTATCTTCTTTTCAAACCAACATCCATTGGCTGATTATCACCATTCTTTATACCACAGAAAAGTCACCTAGCATTGCTGCAGTCTATGAACTTGGTCAAGTAGGTTATTCCTCTGTTAGAGTAGTGTTGTTTTTTTTCATTGAATTTATTGGTACTTTTTAAGTATGCAGTACAATTACATATAATCATTGGGATCTTGTACCTTTACATGACACATCTTGTTTCTCATTTTTCCCCCATACCCTGTCCTCCCTTCACCCCCTTGCCGATCCTCTATTTACAAAAACCTTGTTTCCATTTTTTTCCTTGTCTCATTTTTTTCCCTTAGAGTAGATTTTAGTATTCAGTATCAAAACAAAATTGTATTATCACGAATTTAATTGAAATAGGAAACCCAAGAGAAACCTTTGAAGAATATTTGATAGTTTATTGGTTAACCAGCATCCTCCTTTTCTTTACTAAATATGTACTGTGTGTATACTATGGTCTGGATAATTGTTCTAAAGATCTATGTGTTTAAGTCTGGATCCCTAGGAGGTTCTATTAGGATGTGGGGGAACCTTTAAGAAAGGCCTAATGGAAGGTCTATAGGTGACTGGAACCATATCCTCAAAGGCTCTGTGGGTGATTTAGTAGCCTTTTTGCTCTCTTTTACTTCTGACCAAGATGTGAGTAGTTTTACTCCTCCACGGACACCCTACTGTGCTGTCTCTGCTACAGGTTCAGAAACAATGGGGCCAACCAGTCATGGTCTGAAATCTCCAAAATAAGAGATGAGCCAAAATAAGCCTTTTCTCTTTATAAATTGATTATCATGTACATATGTTATAGTGATGGAAAGCTGACTAAGGGAATATTTTTTACTTAATATCAAGTTTTTGTTAAAATTTCATAGAAAATTATCTTTAATAAATAAGCCCTCTTTTCTAAATATATGATTTCCTTTTCATATAAAGCTGTTAAGCTCTTACATTATTACAAAAATATGCATGATTGATGTGTTATCTTAAAGGAAACTCATGACTATAATGACATTTGAACTTCATAAAGCCTTATTTGGGACACCTAATTTACAAAATACTTGTCAAAATTTTAAACAACTAATTTAGAAATCTAGTATATATTTACTATTTGAGAGAGACACCCTTAGTATGAGGAAAGAAATAGGAGGAATAAAATTCAAGTTTTATTGTTATTGTTTGCTTATATCACTAAATTAATACATGGCCTTGGGAAAATCACTTTACTTATTCAGGTACTTCATGTGTAAAATATAGGAGTTACACAAATAATTGAGTTCCATGCACAGTTCTATAAAAAATGTTTCATACAAATTCACTTCTTGAAAATTCACAATCTGTAATAACATAGCAATGATCCAGAAAAGTCCTTCACAAAAGAGACCCACAGAATATTGCATAGCCCTGTGTTCCCACATTTATCTGGTCTATAATTCCCCTCAAGAAAAAAAAATTAATGTATCCCCAAAGTATTTCTTGATTTTAAAAAAGACAAGGGAATTATGAGTCTTTTTTAGCTCTAAAATTTTACAAGGCAGAAGTTATGTAACTGACACATTATACACTCAAATCCTGAAGTGTAACGCTGTAATTTTGAAAGTAGACTTAGGAATCAGTCATAATAATTGTGTACACAAAAATATATCAAAGTCAATTCTAATCATACACTTTCCATTTTGAGCATTCAAATTTGGATGTTTTCAGCATAATATGCTCATAGAATTGCACAGTGGGTGACCTAAACCAGGGCATAAACACATCTACTTAAAACCAGCATTTTTAAGAAATTATCAAATGCATTGTAGAATTCTGTTTTGCAAAGAAACGAAGCAGAGAAGTAGTAAAGTAAAATACTAACAAATAATAAAAATATTTCCTGTATGAAAAACCTTACCAAACATTTAAAATCTCAAATTCTTTCTTATATGCTTTCCTATAGTTTGCCCTCTGTGAGTGTGTTTGTTGCTGATACATGAATCAAAAAATCTCTATTAGACATTTATACTACTGGTTCTTAATTATAGAACACAGATTCCACTGAGAAGAGATCTCTGCATGTTAAAAGCTAATCAGATAATCTCAGAAAGTCCCTTCTGACTGTCGTGTAACACTTAATCATGCATTAACCATAAATTAAGCATTCAGCTTCTGCCAGTTTTAGAGTAGTTTGGAGGTACAGGCTTACTATTTACAATTTTGACCTGTTTCTAGGCAGTCCGTCCCATTCACAGAAAATGAAAGCTTAAATGAATGATATTTAAATGTAGGCTAATGTAATTTAAATTTGTCTTTCATTCACTGATAGCAAGTTTTTATACATTTGTATATAGCATCCCTCAGTGATTTTAACCTTCCTTTCAGATCTATCAAAAATCAGACCTACCTATCCATGCTCTAGTGTCCTTGGTGAGGCTAGAACACTCAACCATGCTTAAGTGATAATGCAAGAAAGGGCTTCATAAGGGAACCCTAGATCAAACTCTAAATCCACAGGCATCATCATGGTGGACTGTTTGGCTCCATGGAAGTACCACCGAGGGAGGAATAGTTAGCTTTCCTCATCCCCATAAACAGCCTCATGTTTAAGAACATAAAAGTAACCTAATTTTTATGACAGCTGCACAATCCAATAAATCATCTTATAAAGTTAGAGAAACTTTATGATATTTAAGCATGTGTGTCTGATTTATTTCACTGAATATTATGGTTTCATGAATCATCTGTTATCCCACAAATGAATGAATTGTATCCTTTTTATGGCAGAGTAGTACTCCATTTTATATAAATAAATACCACATTTTCTCTATCCTGTTCTATCCCTATTCTGTTTATGGATATACAGTCCTCTTGCAAGATTTAGTAAAGCTTCTATATAAAACCCAGTCGAGCTTCTACATAAAACTCAGTTCCAGAAGATAGCCTGTCAGTCTCTGAAAGGATATCCAGATAATCCATGGCCACATTCTTGACCCACAAACACTGTGAGAAAGTAAGTCTGTTGTTTTGAGCTGCTAAATTTTGGGGTGATTTATTACTACACAGTAATAGATAACTTATACATCATCTATTCCATATTGTCATATTGATAATGTTTCCTAGATTCTGTATAACTTGTCTAACTTTAGTGACTGCTTTTTCCTTCTTGAATTTTTGTTCTCCTTAATTTTCAGCTCTCCACTGCCTAGTTCTTTACATTTATCTTTTGTCATCTGAATTTCGTCCACTGGATTCTCTCCTGTCCACACTACACATGAAGAGAGCTTGAGAATTTGTCTGTTCCCTTCCTCTTTGGTGCTACATCTTCTCTTTTTAAATATCAGACTCCTGAGGTTTGAACTGAATTTTTCATTTTGAGTACGAGACTACTACACCTAATTTATCACTATACATCTCTACTATATGTACAAAATTAAGTGTATTATTAATCCTCCCCCAAAATATATTTTAATAGCCATATCTGACTAGTTAGTAAATGCTTGGCCCGTCCATCTCGTCTCTGG